GTAAAGCTTTACTGGTTATCACATTTGAAGGCACTGCCCAAAGCACACAATTATAACAAATTACATATTTAAATTATAATACTTATTAAAATTATGTTTTCAAGTCCTGACCTACTAGCTATGTTATTAACAAGACATTTCTAAAGTTAAGACCTTTATATGTATTTTCCCCTAGTAACTCTTTCCTGCGGTGGAAACTGTAGCTTTACTCTAGGAATGGGGAAATACATTTAGATCTATGTTTGCCTATACATATTCAAACTGAAGAACAAAGTTAGCTAATTTATACCCTAGCACAGAAAAACCCAGCTAAGTCTGAGAGGCAACAGAAGAAAAGATAAAATTAATTAAATGGCAAGGAATTCAGAAGTTTCTCTCTTAAAAAGAAAAGACAGGGTTTTACTATGTAGTTCAGGCTGATCTCAAACTGGAGATGCTCCTGCCTCAGCTTCTTGAATCAATTTTCATCTGCAAGAATCACAACTAAAATAAAAACATTGGCTCAACTGGAATATATGCAATGGGCATTATTTTTAATGTGAAAATAAGCAAAATGTGTTAAAAACAAATGCTGATTTCAAACAAAAATGTAAGCTTCAACAACAAAATTATCCAATGGCTGCCACATTTCTAAGAAAAATGTCTGGGATGTATCTTTTCCATGTATCAGGAAAATACACTAAGAAAGAGGTATGAACCTTTTTTAGATTAAAAATAATGAAGTCAGACATTGTCTGCCTGTAATCCCAGCATTCAAGAGGCTGAGGCAGGAAGACTGTGACTTCAAGGGCAGCCTGGACTATATAGGCAGACCACATCTACAAGACAGAGATATCGAGGCAAGAGTCAAAAAAGGAGAGAGGGAGAAAGGGAGGGAGGAAGGGAGGGAGGAAGGGAAAGAGGAGGAAAGAAGGAAGGAAGGAAGGAAGGAAGGAAGGAAGGAAGGAAGGAAGGAAGGAAGGAAGGAAGGAAGGAGGAAGGGAGGATGGAAGGGAGGGAGGATGAGAGGGGCAATGAATTACTTTCTATAAAGCAAAAGCCAGACAGAAGAAAATGTTCAGTTCTATCCAGCTCAGAAAACAAAGCAGAGAAACAGTACTATGTGTGCCTGGAGCTATAAAAACAAAATACAGTTTAGGAATAATACTTCAAAAGAAAATCCTATGCTGCAGATGTTGCTTCATGAAGTCTGTCCTGTCCTGACAGCTTCCTGAGTGAGGTTATCATATTTTTTTAAAACAACTGCCTGTCTGTTATGTGTTAAGTATATTGCTCTCCCTACACCCACACTCTTAAGAACCTAGACCTAAGTGTTTTCATATTATCTCCTTATTACTGAATTTTCTGTCATTTTAAAAATTTATTTATTATTTTTTTTATTTAATAACCGCATGATTAGAAGCATTTCATTACAACTTTAACATATTCAATAACAACTTCCAGAGCAAGGGTACATCTCTTTCAAAAGTGGCTGTAAATTTTTAGATTTCACAGTT